AAATTATGTTCGCAAGAAATAAAGTTAAAAATAATTTTCAGCTGAAATAAGATAAATATTTGGAAATAAAAATAAATTTATTTGAATAAAAAACCAAATTTTAGTTTAAATTGGAATGACTTTATATGGAATGCGTTTACCATATTTATTTAACTATAAATGATAAAAATAAATATACACGCATTGTATGTTAAATAGACTTATTTTCTTCGAGTAATATGTTTGAATTTAAAAATCAGTAGTATGCAAGAATATATCATTGATTTAAAAATATTAATCATACCTTTAGCTACAAAATTTAATTTAAAAAAGTAGATTAGATTTTAAATTGATTAAATAAAGTAGATGTAGTATTTTACGGAATATGGGTTGGGATAAAACTAATTCTAAATAGTTTTGAAAACTTAATCTCCGTGAGAAAACACTTAAGTGAACAAAATAAGATAGTCTTTAAATTATTTGATTTGTCTAATTGTTTTACAACCATAATTTTTATTAAAATATTCACTTTCTTCATCTAAAATATTTATTTCTTCAATCATTCATTTAAAATAGTATACATTTGAGCAAAAAGATGGCGCTATCTGTTTACGTAGATAGTAAATACCTAAAATTGACCATTCTTAAAATATTCAATATCTGCACGCTCACAGCTGTGTAATAAATGTATAACTGCCTACCTTAAATTAAAATAAGCCATATAATATTCCAAATCAGCACATACACAATGATTTTAAATATTCACTAGATGCAATGATAATGCTTTACTATAATTCAAAAATATTTTTGTTCTTATTTGGCATTGTTTATCAAACACTCTTTGCGAAAATACAAATGTATACACACCTGAAGCACAATATTTATTAAGCATATAGTATTTTAATAAGAAATTTGAACAATTCAGGTTCAATCTTCTGATCGTCCGTTTTACAAAAACATGCAAATTATAAGTATCTTACCTGAGCCAGTACGGAGCGTTCTTTCGGGTTCACATATTTAAATAGCTTTGTCAAGAAAGCGGGTTCGAGCCAGAGTTCTGTAAGAGTTCTCGCGTGCGGTACAATATCTAACCGCTCCTTGAATTTGTTGTGACAGGCTATGCGAACCCGTGCCCCTCGACATTGCAGCAAATGCTGAGTCTCGTTGCCTGGATAAAACGAAGCGGTAGCCGCTGTGCCTTGGCTCTTGGCGGCCGTGCGGACATTCAGGCCGTTGAAGCATCGGCTTAGCTCCTGGGCAGCCCGCTTCGTAAAGCTGACATCTGCAGCCCCTCCGCTCATGGCCCATAGGACTGTGGGGGGACACCTACACAGTCCGCACCATGACGGCTCCCCCATTTCACATCGCCTGAGAAGCCGAGCACAGGTAGCGCCTGGTGGGTTGGCTTCGGTGCAGCTTGTGCTGGGGGAAAGCCACCATGCGTCTGCTTGCTGGTGGCGAAGAATTGAGATTCCGCTCCTAGCGACCGGCATTTGGCGACGAAATGAGGAATTGGTTTGGCGACGGCTGAAATTTACTCCGATGTGGGGGTTTTCCTCAAATTGTGTTACCTTTGAAAAACCATTGATAAATGTTGTCTTAAATGTTTGAAGTGCAAAAAAATTATGTTTCAGAGATTCGAAAAAATGTGTTTCCATAAATGATGTGAAATAAAAACTATGCGTAATTTACCAAAAATTATGTTTCAGTTTAATATGTGTTGAAATTTAATATGCATCTGCAAAAAATGTATTTCGAGAAAATATTTGCTTAGCATAGATGTTTCTTGCAAGATAAAAACGCATGGAAACAATGTAAATATTTTTATAAAATTGAGTTTTTTTTTCAGGATTTTGTTAATTTTAACAACTTTTATTTTGGAAGAATGACAGTTGATTTTTATCCTTATTTTGATATAAAAAATACGTTTGTTTTAAAATACAGATATATACACATATATATTTGAATTTAAGCGCATCTAAAAAAGTTTGTGAGACCATTTTTTTTATAACTTTTTATATAAACAAAAATAAAGCTATTTGACATTTCTGAAATACGTTTTTATTTAGTCTATTAGCTATGAAATACTTCCCAGTAAAAAAATAATGAATAGTTTCATGCGTATCAGAACAAAAAAATAATTTTTTGAAGATAATTTATTCAAATTATAATCTGTTTCAAATGAAATAAAAAAAAACTTTTTATATATATTAAAGAAAATGTGTGTATAAACGGATATTAATTTAGCTAGTCTCAAATAAAATTCAAATATTAATTATGGGACAATTTTTAGTAAATTTTCATCCAATGATAATTATTTTTTTTTTTGCAAAGAGACAAAATGAAAAGTTCTTTTGTTACTTAAAAGTTAAATATAAATGGTTTCGACCTTTACGTATCGAGAAATCTTTACTTTATCGAGAAATATTCTATTTTTTCTTAAGAGATCCATGTGGACATTGTAGAAAACCTCTATTATTAATATTTATGTAATTTACATGTACCCTAAGAAGTATCAACAAAATGTCTTCATGTGTGATCTATTGCTTCTCACTTTCACCTCCTAAAGGTGGCTACCTTTTTTAAAGCAATTGCTTTTTATAGGTTGGAAAATTTTTCACTCAGATAAAGTGTATATTCTTTCATTTAAATATTAACATAGTAATCTAGAAAAAAATATTTATATTGCAATTGCTACAATAAAAGTTGAGAAAATTTTGAGCCTATATCTCTTTGTTATAATTATTACAGCACGTAAAATCATTAAGGTTCTGAGTTCCTTTTAACGTGCATATAACAATATATATTCTCAACTTCTCTGCAATATGTATAAAGTAGTAAGTATCTGTGGTCATTCCCCATAACTCTTTAATATGCGATATTTGGAAGAGTATGTTAAGATTTTAATCAATGATTTTACCTGAAAAATCTCTGGTCCAATACTGGTTACATCAATTACTGCATAACAACAACCCTAATTTATCTTGCAAAAGAAAAAAAAAGCAGAAATAATCTTGTATTACATGACAAAAACTAAATAAGATTAGAATAGAATATCAATTTGCCTTTTTTAAAAAATAATTTTTACAGACAGTAATAATAATTTAATAGAAATAAATTCGTATCCAAATGATAAATTTTATAGGGTTATCTCGGCTTGGATTTTTTTCTTACTAAATACTTTACATAATTTTTAGATTTATTGTATATTAAAAGCCATTGAATTTCAAAGTTTTTATATTATAAGAATGGTAATATCTCTAGAAATACGAATATGTTCACATTTCCAAGTGTCATCACTGAAAAAAAAGGCCCAAACAAAATTACGAGGATCATCAGGAATTCTAATTAGATTTTCAAACAAAACAAATTATTCGTTTATGCATTATTATTAGTAAAGATAGTTCTTTAATGTGAATCAGAAAATTTTTTTATGTATTTTACGTGATATTCCTTTCAAAGGATAAAAATTAAGTTATTCATTTTAAGAATAATAGCCAATGTCCTTTTTGCAAATATAGTTTCATATACAGCCGAACCTTTATATAACGAACCTCTATATTACGAACTTTTCTATATAGCTAACTTTTTCCTGGAATCTCGAACAGTTCACGATTTTCTTCGTAAAATAATCTCTCTTTAGCGAAGTGCATTTTTTATATTACAAACTTTTTCTTTTATGATTCAATTTTTGCTCTCCCTTTTTTTAAAGTATTTTTAAAAGTTATTCTCTCTCTTTAACACATTTTATTGTGGTTATAAATTCTGAACTAGTTTTATTACTAACTCGCTGAAAGCAATATTGTTCTAGACGTTTCATCCAAGAAATGCAACCTTTAACCCCCTTGCCCAGTTTACTAGAAATATCTTCGATATCCTCTTTCAAACTCAGTAGAATTGTCCCTTATCCCCGTGTTCTAATTATAAAATAATGTATGTTTAGTATTACTCTTGTATGCTTTAAATCATAAAATGTCCTTAAATTAATTAATTTTTGTATAAAATTATATTCTTTACTGAAACAGTGAATTCTTCGACATTCTTTTTTCTTGCTTTCCTTGCAGTTTTTCTTTCTTTCTTTTTTATTGATGGGTAAGATATATTAAATAAACGTGTATTAATTTTAAAAAAAAGGTGCGAATAATTACGTGTTTTAATATATAGTGTTTATGAATTTATAATTTGTTTTATGTGCTTTATAAAGTATATTAAAAGATGAACCTCTATATAACAAATTTTCCTTATAAGGAACTTTCCCCCGGGATTTAGCGACTTCGTTATATAGAGGTCCGACTGTATTTCTTTTGTGCTAACCGCAAACATTTTACTTCATTTAAATAAGGATCTTAATTCGAATTAATTGAGTACCACTGAAGACACGAGGGGAGTGGGGTTGATGCTTGTTAAATCTGATGACGCTGAAAGTTCTCCCTTTTGTGAGTTGTGGAGGATAAGAGAGGGGATTCCATCTGAGGTAAACCTTTATCAGCAAAGTCTTTAAGCATCATGTTGTAAGCACTTTGAGAGTATTTTGTGTAATAAGAAGACGAATATACGAAGTAAATCATAGTAAATAACTTTTAAAATTTACAAAAGATTTAAAACTGAATGGTTTTTTTTAATTTTTAAAAGCATATTAATTACAAAAGTACAAAGTGCATTCATTTATCGGAACAGTAAATACTTTAAAACAAGTAATATATAAAAAAAATAAGTCAATTCCTACTTAGTTCAACAATACTTTTTTTATTAAATAGTTACAATTAATATAAATATACAATTAATACAACAAATGACAAAATCACAATATTAAGTGACAAAACAGAAAGCGATTTTCCATTTTCCTTTCTATATAAGGGGTTGGACAATTTTTTTTGTTTATTACCATTTCTTCATTAATTATTGTTTATTACTATTTATTCATTAATTATTGTTTTTATTACTATTTATTCATTAGTTAAATTTAATTACTCTTTTTAAATAATGTTATTAAAAAGAAATCACATTCACCGAAATTGGACCATTCCAGGTGGGAATCAAACCCATGACCTTTGGATTAAAAGTCCAACGCGCTATTCATTGCACTGCAGGGATACAACGAACGTTTTTCTTTCCTACATATGCTGTTGGACTATTATTTTTGTCTGTTACAATTTATTCATTTTTTAATTTAATTATTGAATAAATATTTGAAAAAACTGAATAAACATCAAGTGTCATCCTCTACAAGCTTAAAAAAACGTGTTTGAACTTGAGTGGATGAAAGGAAAGTATTTTATTAACGAATGAAAATTTGAACAAGATATATACATATATATATATTTAATAGGGAGAGAGTGAACTAATAGTAGGAATTAAAATAGCGTTTTCAGCAAAGAATACATAGACTTTTTAAGGTTATTATTTCAGAAACTCGTATAATCTTCATTTTCTATAAACGTTTTAGAAGTCTAATAAGATTTAACGAATTATAAATATTTTATAGAATGCTAGTTAAGGAATTATAATGCTTTGTAATTAATTATTGTCTCAGTTCTAAGTAACACTTTGTCACGAATGGATATCTATTAACATCTATTTTGTAAGAAAACTGCAGCATTATCTCGCACAGTCATAAAGAAATACAAATAAAGCCCCTTAGTTTGGCGATCTTCTTAGAGTTCTTGCTTGGCAAGAATTTCCATGGAAGTGTGCCAATACGTCAGCGTCGTGTTTTTTTTTCAAATGTGCGCGCGCTTCTGGTCGATTCATTCATATGATTTGAGCTCTTCCCCACCACTACCTCTTCAAAGGGCAGGTTTCAACCAAGAGTTTTTTAAAGTTTTGCCAAACATCTGCGGTCAGGGGAAAGACAAAAGGAAACGTGTCTCAGCTTGAAAAACTCTTAAATTTTTTTTTTCAAATAATACCTTATAGGTTGTCGCTAAGATAGTCGATGTGATTTATGTTGAAAAGTTGTTTTTCCTTTACCTTTATGCGTGAAACAGACCGAAACTCGTGACTTATCGAAATCACGCGTTCGATATTTGTATTCGAAAGCTGTTTTGATTTCCATAAAGAAGCGGGAACTTTTTTCCTTATTGACAATCTCAAGATTTGTTCATATTTGGCAAAAATATTTTGATTTTGGAATAGCTTTTAAAGGAGTAATTAATATTTTATGGGAAAAGTAATTTAAATTTAGCCTCAGGTTTAAAAAAAGAACATTATTCATTCTTTCAGCTTATTTAAAGACATATAATTGCTTCAATTGGTTTATATGGAATTCAGAAGTAAAATTATATCTCTAATAAACATATTCTAAAATCACCTTTGAAGGAAAGCGGTTAAATTTTTACCACTATGAATTGGATAAAATAATTTTTCAATTCAAATAAAATATTAAGCTTCTATTCATTTTTAACAATAAATTTTTATTTTGTCAAAACATTGATTACATTTTTTTATTTCTGAAAATTTACTTATACTTTTTCCCAATTACTTACTTAGTGTAGAGTTTCTCAAACTGTGGGGCGTGCCCCACTAGGGGGGGCGTGACAGGTTAATGAGAGGGTGCGAGCATATTGAAAAGTTAGAAAACAAAATATTATTTTTAACAAAAATTATTAATTTTCTGAAAGTAAACAAACAAATTACATTTTGACAAAACAAAAAAAAAAAATAAAATAAAATACGCATTTACATGGATCAGTACTGCACAATGTATTTTATAATTACCGTAAAATTCCGGCATACAAGGCGCACCGGAGTATAACGTGCACCTATACTTTCAAGCTGAATGTTTTAATTTTTAGGTATATTCGCCGCATAATACACACCCTCTTTTCTACGAAGAAATCTAAAATATTAGTATACATTGCCTTAATGTATTAAAGTAATTTTTCGAAGTATTATCCCAAACTTCTGAAAAAATAGCATACTTCTAGAACTATAACTCTTTTAGTTCATAAGGCAAGTCGTTTCTTTTAAATAAACAGTGTTTCGATACATGTAGAAGTAAATTTTTTTTATGCTCATCTCTTTTTTTATTTTTAAAGCTAACGTTTTCATATCTGGCGTATAACTGGCACCCTTAAGTTTAGATCCTATTTTTTGTGTTCAAAGTGCTTTTTGTGTTCCTATTTTTTGTGTTATACGCTGGACTTTACGGTAATTTAACAGTACTAAATTAAGAACAACATAATTAATTACCAATTACTCCATGATCTGGTCCTATACAAAAATACACTGCTGGACAATTGCTAAGGACGGATCACAAATTGCTATGTAGCATAACATTAAGCGAGACATGAGGCCTAGTAGGATAAAATATAGTTGCCACACTGTTCAGATATTAGAATAAAGAATATTTATTGTTCTGGAAAGTACAAAAGCTGTGAAACATCTGAAAGAAAAAAAATGTTCATTTGATCTGCGTACGGAGAAATGGAACAATGCATCTAAAAGTCAGCAGGCACCTTAAAGAAAGGTATCAGTACGGGATATGTCCACCGTGGTGTGTGATGCAACATTCCACACGTCGTACCATACTTTGCACAACGTTATCCAGCAGCTGTTGAGGTAATTTATCCCATTCCTCTGTGAGTGCACGGATGAGGGTGTTCTTGTTTGTAGGAGGATAGTTTCGACCAGCAACTTGCCTCCCCAAAGCATCCCACACATTTTCAATGGGGTTTAGATCTGGAGAACGCACTGGCCATATGAGACGTTGAATACCCTTGCTGTCTAGACAATCCTGAACAGCGAGTGTTCGATGACATGATGCGCTGTCGTCCATAAAAACAAATTTATCACCGACAGCACCACGGAAAAGACGAACATGAGGAAGTAGAACTTCATCAATGTATCGTTGGCCCGTCATAGTCCCATTCGCAACCACATGTAGGCGCGTGCGGCCATTGATCATGATGCCGGCCCACACCATGATACTGCATGTCGGATATCGGTCCTTTTCCTGGATATTTTCTGGACGATAAGCAGTACCACTCTCGCGCCAGATCAGTTGGCGTCTACAATCCGATGACAGACTGAACCTACTCTCATCTGAAAATAGTACGCATGCCCAGTCCTGTTCAGTCCAATTGTGATGCTCACGACACCATTGCAAATGGGTAGTTCGGTGCTGTCTGGTCAATGGGACACACACAACAGGTCTGCGTGCGTATAGTCCTCCTCCCCTCAAACGTCTGGCAACAGTTTATCGGGAGATCTGCTTTCCTGAGGCAGCAAGAAACTGATTTGCCACCTGCTGAGCTGTGGTGCGCCTGTTCCTTTTTGCTGAAAGGACGATATATCTGTCTTCTGCAGGCGTCGTACTTCTAACACGACCTCCCCCGTGCCGTCTACTACACATTCCAGTAGTTTTAAATGACTTCCACAGCCGTGAAACAACGCTGTGAGCGATGTCGAACTCACTGGCAACATCTGTTATTTTTCGCCCTTCTTCGATCTTTCCAATAATTCGGCCACTCATAAAATCATCTATGTCATGTCGGGAAGACATGCCAAAAATTTTAAGTTCGTGTATTAAATCTTTCCTGTAAAACTTTGACTTGAAACAACAACTATCCACACACGTCAAAACCTTTAAAGCTCTTATGAACGTTATCACGTGATGAACAGACGTGGAAAAAAATTTGCATACTCATACTTCTTCTTACTAATATCCCGCACTTATTCTAATTTTCCACATTTTGCTTCCTTTCATTTTGTGGTTGCTATGGATGATAGTGTTATCCGTTCTTAGCAATTGTCCAGCAGTGTATATTCAAAAATTAACACTTATCTGCATAATTTGTACGGTTATTGATTAATCCCTTAACTGTACATAAATAGTTACCGTAAAATCCGGCGTATAACGCGCACTTTTAATACCAAAAATAAGATCGAAATTTAAGGGCGCGCGTTATACGCCAAGTATAAAAATGTGATAGTTTTAAAAATTAAAGAAAAGATGAGCATAAAAGAAATCAGACTTCTACATAGATCTAAATACTGTTCATTTAAAAGAAATGACATACCCCATGAACTTTAAGAATTGTTGTTCTATTAGTATGTCATTTTATTAAAACACCTAAGGTAATACAACGAATAAAGGACTTCAAAACATATAAGAGCATTGCATAATTACATTACAGGCCTCTTCGTAAAAAGGGGGTACGCGTTATACGGCGAAAAAAGTTCGAAAATGCAGCTTGAAAGTATAGGTGCGCGTTATACGCCGGATTTTACGGTATTTGATTCGTTCCCAAATACCACCGTTTTCCAAGTCGGCGTGCGTATGTGATATATGGAGAGGGAGGAAAAAAAATGAATAAATAAGAAAATGCTCTGAAATATAGGTAAATCCTTAGCAAACACTATCAAGATACTTTTATTACATTCCAAAACCTTTGGAATAGTACGCAGAAAAGATTGTACCGGGCAATTAACGCTTTTGCTGTGCGAAACGTTTAGTATAGCATTATTGAATAAGATGTATAGTATTATTGAATAAAACACAACATGGTGGGGGTATATAGTGTGTGGGGGGCGGGGTGCAATGAGAAAATTATGATTGGATATTGGGAGGCAAATATTGAAATTTTGAAAAACATTGATTTAGTGAAATCAGATTTTTTTGTTATCTCTAATTCTTAGCAACTCCCATAATAATAACAAAAATAATTTCCCATAAATAAAACATTCTCTACTAAAAGTCGATACGAGCACATATTCAATCCCTGCCATGTATTATTTCCTGTGAAATCGTTAATATTGCTTTAAAAAACCAGGCATTATTCACTTACAGACCAAAAAAACATTAAGATACCTCTTTCTTAAAATCTATATTCAATCACGTATTACATGATATTTTATTTCATTTTAAAATTTTTACGTTTGTTGTTTCCTCTTTCTTTCACTCGGAACAAAATTAATTTTCAATCTACTAACACTTAAGTTTTCTAGCATCTGTTAGGAGAACAGCAATTTTGGTCATATTTCTGAAATATTAGACTGAATATTGGTAAGGGATATCCGGAATATGAAATATAAACTAAAAATTTATGCAACATTTTTACTAGTTACATTAATTCCGAAACTATATATTTAAGAGGACAAATCATTATAGAAGACAATATTATTTTTTAGAACAAAACTCATTACTTGAATTTCATTACTTGAAATATATATTAAATTCAAAGTACATGAAAATTATTTTAAAAACTATATTTAAATAATAAAAAACAATAACTACTTAGGTCAATAAAGAAAAATTTTATTTTAGTTAATTTTATTAAAAATTTTATTAAATAATTACAATTAATATTAATATGTATGTATAAATGACTGAATCGCAATATTAAGTTACAAAACAGAAAGCGATTTCCCATTTTTCTTACTATGTATGGAGTTGGACAATTTTTTTGTTACTATTTATTCATTAATTAAATTTAATTATTCTAATAAAATAGTGTAATAAAAATAATTCATGTTCTGAGAAATTATGCCATCCCAGATTTGTCCCCAAAGATCCCACCGACGATCTTTGGATTAGAAGTCCAACGCGCTGTCCATTGTGCTACTGGGACACAATGAGCGATTTTCCTTTCTAAATGTGTTGTTGGACTATTATCTTTGTTACTATTTATTCATTTTTAATTTAATTAATGAATTAATATTTAAAAAAACTGTATTAACATCAAGTGTCATCCACTCAGTAGCGTAACGGAGAACATTTGGGCCCCCACGATGTTGGGATTGCGGGAGTGTACGTTACGTTACTGCATCCACTACAAATTTAAAAAAATGCATTTGAACTTGAATGGATTAATAAAAAGTATTTTATAAATTATTGAAAATTTGAACAATATATATATATATATGTATAAAAGAAGAAAGAGAACAAAAATGGTTTAAATATTTAGAACTTTGTGGGTGTTATTCGTAGTTGAATAAATATGTATTTAGAGGGAGAGTGTTTTGTTAAGTTTTTCAATTGTTAATTTGTTCGTGTCACAATTTCAATTCTGATTCTACCGGAGATATTGAAATAATAGAGATATGCCACATATAAAGTTAAAACAAACCTCAAACTCTTCACGGGGCATGGTACAGAAATTAGACCTGATAGATATTATTTGACTCACTCTCCATGTTATTTTAGCATGACACAAATTTAAATTACATGCAGGGTCTCCGGGCTTAAAGTATCCAAAAGTTATGGCTTATTATTACGGCACTACCCATCAGAATGTTATAAACTGTTCACTCGTGGGTTGTAAAGTCCTCCCAGATTTTTTTGGATCTAGTCCGATCGGCCGCACGTGCACGCATTATTCGGTAATCGCACACGGTAGTATTGTTACACTGTCTTCATAGATATAGATGTGGACGCCTCAGCAAAAGGTGCAATGCGTACTTTGGTTAACGGAATTTAAATCAGTCACGTGTGTACAACGACGTGTTTGAACAGAATGGAATGTCGATCCTCCAACATCAAAATCTATCTATCAATGGGAAAGAACTTTAATGGAGACGGGAACTTTGGTATCTCAAACTGGCAAGTACCCTTAAGGTTTCGTGATAGAAGACACTTTTGATCGTGTGCGTGATTCATTATGTAGGAGTCCTGATAAGTCTATTAGATAAGCCAGTAACAACATGCCATTATTTTGGAACACGTCACTGCACACACGCGTCTCGTTTAAATTCCGTTAAACAAAGTACGCGCTGCACTTTTTGCTGCAGGGTCCACTTCTTTACTGATGAAGTCATTGTAACAAGTTTATTGTCTGCGATTTCCGAATAATGCTTGCACGTGCGGCCGATTGGACTCAACCCAAAAAATCTCGGAGGGGTTTTCAGTCCCCGGACGAGCAATTTATTACATTCTGATGGGTATTTCCGTAATAATTAGCCATAATTTTTGGATACTATATGCCCGGACACTCTGTATTTTTAGCACTCCTCATCCTCTTTACATCACTCCTGATTCATTGCAGCTAAAATGTAAATTTTTGTATCTTTAACGAATTAAATAATATCCCCTATGCACCCTTGCACCCAATCCAAACATTTGAATTAAAACACTATCGCATAATTTTAAAATATTTATGTCATACGTACACACACTATTTATTAAGATCAAGCCCAATAAAGTTCACCAGAAAGAGAACTACTATCAATTTTGTCGTAAATTCACTTCGTACAATATTTCTTTTTATCCGCAAAGATGCTAAAGCTAACTGTAAAAATTGTATCTGACTACTTTTTAACACTGCCTTCTACCCCCAAAATGAACATAATTTTCAAAAATTCTTGACAACACAATGATACATTTTTTTCTTAATTCAAATTGAATGAAAGTAAATTTTATTTAAAAATTCAAAAATATAAATTAATTGATGTTTTATAATAACTTATACGTAATCGAAAATTCAAGCGAGAATTGAAACATAATCAAGGTGTTAAGAATTTTACGACAGTTATAAGACTGTTATGTTTGTCTCGTGAACTGTTTCTTCGTATAATTTCACCTTCTTCTAAGAAAACCTTTTAGTCAAACGATTTTTCCAATAAAAACTTTTGCATAAGGTACAGCACTTAAGGAAAATTATTTATTGTGGACCGCAATGTAGTTATGTCATTTCGGAAATATAATCTAGTGGGGTATCGGGCTCATCCGAGAAAAAAATCTATTTGCTTGACATACGAAATATAACTCTTTACGAAATCATTTTTCAAAATTTTACCTTAGAATTATAGTTCTTAAAAAAATCTATATATATATATATATATGTACAATGAGAGGCCAAATAAATATGACATGCCCACTTAACACATATACGGATATCAGCTATAACTTTATGCAGTTGAGCTCTAGAGGGCAAGATAGCTACTAATATATATAATATAGTGAATCAATAATTACACTGTTTTGTTTGTGAAGAAATAGGGTAGAAATGTAATTTATATATATATATAGCTATGTTAGAACGCGGTGGATACATGTAGGTGCTTGAAGCTTGGGAACTAGTATAAACATAACGGTTTCACTTGTAAAGTGTTCGAGATCAGCAGGTATTAAAGCTTACAGAGAGTGGATTCCTGAGCGGAAAACCGGGCGTTAACGTTAGACTTGAACGTTTTGTTGGAAAGGGAAATTGCGAAATTTGTCCAGCCGAATGAAAGAGCAATCATATTTCAAATTGCGGAGAATCTTAATCACGGAGCAACTAAAAACGTCTCTGAATGAATTATTCACCCCCAAATTACATCATATAGGCTATGGTCACCGACGACTTGTTCGAAAGCTTCTACTGTTGGCTTTGAAAAAGAACAGATATCTCCAGTTCTCAAAGAAGCACGAGGATTGGAGTGTAGATGATTGGGAAAGTGTCAAGTAGTACTATAAATCACCTTTTTGATTGCACCAGGTGTATGGCAAGGTGCGAATATGGAAGAAAACAGAATGAAAGTACGAATACCATCTGCATTGCTTCTACTCTTCAAGCTGGGGAAGGCGATATTATGGTTTGGTGGATATTTTCTTGGCATTGCATGGATCCTTTGATTTGTGTGGAAAAACGTCTGAATGCCCAAGGGTATTTAAGTGTAGTCTCAGATCAAGTACAACCTTTTATAAAGTAATCTGCCAGAGATGGATACTTTCAGAAGATGGATACTTTCCCTGGCATACAGCTGGATGCAGATGGCTTAAGGATCATGACGAAATCTTTACTTTGCTTAGTTGGCTTGTACAATCACCAGATATCATTCCATCTCAGAATTTGTGGGATAAGATCGAACGCGGCATCAGGTAGATAAATCCAGTACCATTAGGCCTGAAGGCCCTAGAAAGGGAAATTCATTGGATATGGTCTCAAATTTCTCATACCACCTACTAACAGCTCATAGAGTTCCTGCCAAGAAGAATCCATGCAGTACTAAAAGCAAAAAGGGGTTCAATTTTGTATTGAGTATCATATTGTCATTGAATTGATCATAATAGTTAAGACACTCAATGTAATATTTGAAATCTAACAGAGAGAGAATTTTAAAACTGCATACAATTCGTCTTTAATAACCAATAATTAGGGGACACGTTTATTCAATAGAGATGTAAATTCAAACACAGAACCCAATGTTTATGTATATAGTCGATATCTAATATCAATAGAATCAGATGAATACTATCCATTTACACACAAAAGCAATATTACGTTATGGAAACTACATAAAAAGAATGACGTTTCAATTTGCTTACTAATTTTGTTGCAATACTAAGAATAATAAAAATACGGTATTCCTGTTTTGTCTGAATAACTGTAGAAACATGTGTGTTCAGAGATAGAAATCTTTTATTTATTTTAATAGTATTACTCGCTCATAATGACTTAAGATTCAATATTTAAATAAAAATTCCGAGCTAAACTGCTTACACCTACATATTATTAGTATAAGTAAGTTTAACATAGGGTAAGTAATGATAGTTGTAATTCTTTAAATTACTTTTAAGGATTACTGTTGAAATGAGCATCTATACTTTTATTATAATTCAAATCTGCAGCCAAAATCCCTTTGTAAGTCGCATCTGACATTAATAATAAGATGTTTAGGTTAACGTAAAAAAAAAGGTTTTGTGAAATCGTATTATAGTCCCTGAGTAGAGAATATGAAAATCTAAGATTATAATTTTAACAAACACTGAACCCGTAAAATACCCAGAATTATATTATTCATATATGGGTAAATAATTTTTGTAAATAAATTTCGTTTTATGTAAACCTTGAAATAAATTTAAAACTTGATAACCTTGCGAAATTGTTTCCTGATTATAAAAGAGTCCGAGTGAAATTCGGGAATAAACATGTAATTAAAGTAAATATTATAATTGTGCTTTCGACAAATATGTTTACAACTGTAATTTTTTTTACTGTTAAAATTACAAATTCTGTTCTTTAAATCTCCTTTTTATTCATAGATTTTTATCAGTAAAAATTAAAGAGATTTAAATTACCACACAGAACAAACAGAGAGGGCATGTACTGAAATAGATGAATGTCATTAGAATTTTTTATGACTAAAAAAATCAATTGTGAAATGAATTATGCTTTTTAAATTCTTCTAATCAGTTAATAACTTAAGTATAATAAAAAAAACTCCCGTTTCCAACTAATAATTGCTTAAAAGCTTAAATTAATATTTGAAAATGCTTTAGTAAAATATATTTTTCTTAGTAATGTTTGGAATAGATTTGTCTCAAGACTGAAAAAATAGTATTTCCATGATTTACACTAGGACAACTATTTCAAAATAACAAACAAATAAAACTGATTAATTATGTACGTAAAATAGTGAATTATTTTATTCATCTTTGGTCTTCCTCGTTTTGTATGTATCAGATACTTGCTTAAAATCAATAAATTTACTTTCTCCCCGAAAGAACAAATAAATTTGAAACCAAACAAGGGGAAGTTTCACTATAAAATTAATCAACTGCATGAAAAAGAATTTTTTAATCCAATTACCCTGTCTTCTCCGTTTTATTATTTTAATCAATTTTCTAGCTCTTTCCTTGAATTTCCAT